TCAATCTAACAATGCCAAACAAATAGGAAACAAATAAGCAAACAGATCTGCCACCAAAATTAGCAGAAAACACAAAAGAAATCATGCTAAACAAATACAAAATTATAAATTTCAACAAACAATATGAAATCGCAGTGTAATTACCTATAAAATAGAGAAAGCACTTGAAGTTCTAGGAGTAATACTGAGGTTCTGAGGTGAAATTAACAGTAAACATGAACATCAAATCGAATTCATCGAGTTGCAGTAACCACATTTTGCGCAGAATAAGACCCGACCCGACCCGTTTAGCTTGAGCTGAAGTAGTAAGAGATTTGGATCTGTGTTAATGGAGAAGAAGAAGGAGTGTTTAGTGCCAAGTACAAAGTGAAGAGTGAGAGGTGGAGAAATGGTAAAAGGAATTTCAGCTTTTTTGTAATGAATCTGTTTTTTTTTCTTCTATTAACAGCTAACTGAATATACATCGTATTTATTTTATCTATTTTTTTTATGTTGCTGAGATAATAAGAGAATAATTGACTCTACTAAAATAAAATATTAGAGTATAATACTTAGCAAAGTGAACGTCTTTTTTTTAAAAAAAAATATTAAGATATATTACGATATTTTTAATGGTTTTTTTTAGTGAATTGTTGAAGCTATCAAAAGAATATAATATGTTTGAATATAAAATCCAGACGTACGAGTAATTTTATAATTTTTCAAGATATTTGATGAAATTGAAACAGTATAAAGATGTCACAAATCTTAAATTAAATTTAACTATAAAATATAATGCGGACGTTAAGCTCTAGCTCTTTCTCTTATTAATTTGTTTGTTGTGTTTAAGTAATAATTTTAATATATAGTACTATTAAGAAATTAATTTTGTAGTCTTCTTTTGAATAATAAACATATCTTTAATGTTAACACAATGCTGGGGCGGCTTAACAACTTTGAAAAAAAACACAATTGTCTTATGCCCGAAAATTTGAGGGGCCTCATTTTTTTAAAAAAATAATAAGTTATAAATATTTATTTTTAAAAAAAATATAGAGTATTGCTTATAGAAAATAAAATATTTTCATAAAAATGCAAAGAAGTAATAGAAGTTCGACAAATTATGAATACTATGTCTCAAGAAAAATTAAATAATTAGCTATAATAAACTTCATAAAAAATATATATTTGAATTTAAGGCCTCCATTCGGATTTGACTTAAGGCCACCGCTTTATTAGAGCTGCCTTGACACAATGTAATCCATATATAATTCACATATTATATAACGATTTGATCCATTTGAATTACCAAAACCAAAGCTACCTGAAAAGTAATACACAAATTAAATAAATAAATATTATTATTAATAATAGTAATAATAAAAAATAAAATAAAATAATGTACTGTGAAGTGAAGTTTGCACTTGTGAATGACAGTTGGATCACAGGAAGGATAGGTTGGCAATTACTACTCCTTTTAGAGGTGAAGGTGGATGGTTGAAGACTATTTGGTTGGTGTATATTTAATGTACATGCATAAAAGTTATTCTTGCTCAATAATTACACAACAATGAAAATAATATATCTCATGTAATTTCATAATCAAAAGTTTAATAAAATATATATAATCGTAGTCCGTTAATTTTTCTTCGCGTATATGAGATAGAAAAATTATATCTAATAGATTCTCAACTCAAAAGAAAAGAAGATGATTTTTTTTTTGGAAACAATGCATCTATAAATAAATCATATAATATACGAATTTGGATTTAATCTATCGTAATACAAACACAGAAAGAAAAAAAAAACATTTCATTTTGACCCAATATGCTTGTAATTTGGTTAATACTTATAAGGATTCTCTAGACAAACTAAACTCTTTTTGCTAGTCATGCTTGAAGAAACAAAGTGCCCAAAAAGAATAAGAAAAAGAACAGGTCAATAAGAAAGATACAAAAAGTATAAAGGAAAAAATGAAGCACATGGTCCCCAATAAAGCATATGAAACTGACATGATGTATTAATTAAGTTAAGAGAAGGGTTTAATATAGGAAGAATCAATTTTGTAGCCTTTACAAATTTGTTTCAGTTGTCTTTTTTTATAAGAGATTTTCATGGTCACGCATAAGAAATTTTTATTTTTACACATAAAACGTCTAAAGAGGTTATTTTTATTGTTCAATTGATATAAGTGGCCAGACAAGATTATTTGCTTGTTAATATCAGAGTAATTTTGTGGAAGTGTACTAAGGGCAACTGTAAAATTGATGAATTGATTGTTAACAATTTGGGTATCTTGTCCTACTCAATGACTATCATATTATCGTAATTTTGGTACTCCGTAATTTTTTATGATAAATTTAAATTTAAACGGAATATATGTTATTATTTGGAATAAGGTTTGTGCTATTAGTAGGGGTATAAAATAGACATGTTTCAATTTATTTTAATCTTTCCTATTCAGCCTATCTATAATTTGAATTGATATATAAACCTAAATTAATCATTGTACGACTAAACAATCTAGCCATAGCCATAGCCACATTAACACTCTGGAGAATCCAATTCCTGATAAATTTAAAAAGGTTGGACAAGACCATTTCCAACTCATCTCTATTTTACTCTTACACTCTCTATTTCACTTTTTTAATAATTTATTATTATTTATATTACTTTCTAATTAACTTATTATTTTACATATAATGTCATTAATTAAATATCTAATATTCATAAAAAAATTTAAACGTAATATAATATTTTAAAAAATATATTATTTAAATACAAGATAACAATATAATACATATTATAATGACTATATTTATTATACTGCACAACATGATAATTGAGGATGAACGAAATCCTAATGCACCAATTCAAGATGTCGTAGAGGCTCCAACTCCAACGACAGAAATGGTAGTAGATGAAAATCTCCGATTTGAACAATTTTTAGCTAGACATAAAAAAATTAAGAACAAAAATGCTCATTTTGAACTCCATAATGCATTAATAAAGCATTTATGGGAGCAACATAATAATTTTGTAAATTGAGTATATGTAATTGTATTTCACTTTTATTTGAATTTGTCTATTAATTTATATATTATATTATATTTTCTTACAATTTATGTTATTTAAAAATTTAGAATAAAATATAATTTTATATTAAATAAAATATTTTAAAAAATAATTTTTTCTATCTCATGAAAATTATATAAAGTAATTATTTGGGAGAAGGAAATAAAGGATTTATATTATGAAATAAGAAAATAAGAATGAAATAGCAATAATAATATAATATTGAGGAGAGAGAAACATATTTTTTTAGAGAGTAAAATAGAGAATTGGGTTGAAATTGATTGTCTGAAAAAAAAAAAAACTCTATATTTGGAGAGTAAAATAGAGTATAGGGTTGGAGATGCCCTCAGATACAAAACAAAATTTCTGAGAGTTGATAAGCAAAGAAGAAAATTCTGTATTTCGGTATGAAATCTCAACTTCACAAGCAAGTAAGAGTTCACCACTCGATCGAAGCAACTAAGAGATGCAAAGGGCAACCGGCGAGATATAAGACAAATAAAACAGGTATTGCAGCAATAAGGCTAGTCATTTGAACATAAGGGTTCGTACTAATTTTAAGGACTTCACCTCATCAGCCTTACAAATCAGTAATCAGTCTGGAGAGGATCACACACAGCACAGCAAGCAAAACATGAAGAGGAAGAGGTGTATTACTTGAACATAAAATTCTCGTTCGGACGAACCAAAAGGTTTATCTATCTACTATCATGCTATCAAGATCCAGACTGTTGCCATGGAGCAGGCGAAAAAAGGACATAAAGACACTGTTAATTCAAACAGCGAGGAGTCAAATGCATATTTTAGGGACACAGGACATGAGTAAATTACCAACACACAATTATCACAATTTAAAGATTATCAAGCTTAATGGACAATTGATAATCATGTGAGAAGTGATCACTAATGTAAGCACACCTTTAGTATCAGATGAAGCTACAAAGAAGCACAACCAGACCTGGTATGGCTAAAGTAAAAGTGAAGACGGACTTAACCCCACTGGAAACAAGTTTGGGTTGGGCTGGAGGATGAAAATTCTCCACTTATACAAGTATAGAAGCTAGAATATGAATACATCCCCAATAATTGTAAACACGATAGAAAAAATTAGAGCGTGTGATGATGAATAGCAGAGTTATTGAAAGGCAAAAGGCAGCTAAAATCATGAACAATGAAATCAGAGTGAAAATGGATGAGTAGGGGTCAGAAAGGAGATATACTTTTCAATACAATCAAATAATATATTTATGCAGCCGTGCAGCCTTATGAGCATATCTGGCATGTACAGTGGGGAAGAAACACAGACCAGTGATAAGTAATGAACAATCCAGGCAATAATTCTGAAAATTATAGACGCCAACGAATCGCTCTCAAACTCTATTCTACTCTGCTCTGAGATAAGCAGTTGAGCAATCAAAAACTTTAACTCTGCTATGAGAAGGACAACTAAGTCATCAACAACAAAAAACTAGAGTAGCCCCACGAGTGAGGTCCGTGGAGGGTAGAGTGTGCGAGTACCATGTGTACTTGTACGTACAACAACATACACAATGTAATCCCACAAGTGGAGTGTGCATACACCAGAAACTTAACGAACATATAAATGAAAATATGAACTGGTAACCTAACTAGCTTATCTTATTGCAATAAGCATATTATAGTCTGACAAAGCACATAAGAATTGCAAATAATCATACAACATAAGCATGTATAAGATAACACACACAACATTGATACGAAGCTATAACCAAAAACAAATAGTAACTCGGTTCGCCTCGTATACATATAATCACCCCATACTTAAAGTATTCATCTATTGAAAAAAACATAACTTGGTAAAGTCTCAGGATTCTCCAAGCCACATATCAGTACAATACTTATATGAGCCAATAATTTCCAACAAAATCAAAATTTGATACTTAAAACATCCTACAAATCCAATAACAAAAATTAAAGCATCTCGGCCCGAGCAGTAACAGCTCTGAGCTTGGAATAAACCTTACCAGCAGGAGACCCCATAATGAGACTACAAAGTGAATCTCTAGCAATCTTAATGTTCAAAAACGATCCCAATATATGTATCTTGCTATCTGCAATTACTATCCTAGTCTTCGTCGAATTCTCTATAGCAAATTTCGTCTTTCCTCCTTTCCCAGACAATCTACCAATAGCCCTAGACAAATGCTCACCTCTTAGAGTCTTCACATCCTTGATCTCGAACGAATCCACATATAACTCATCCAAACGGAGCAAAGCAACAGCATCACAAACATCAAACCCTAGCATGAAAGCATGAACGAAATCAGCGCACTTCTGTAGGTTGCTGATGTCGGGAGTATCGGTTCGGGTTTTCAGCTCGACCCGACGTTTCTTGAGATTCATTCGGATATCAATCTTCATCTGCTCGAAGATTGGATTGTAGATTTCCATCCATACTTTCTTCAGTGGAGTGTACCGATGCTGTGGGACTGTAACTTTGCGAAACTGGACATGGCCGTCTGAGATTTCGTGGGCCTTTAGAGGTTGAAAGTTGGGTTTCGTCGGTAAGGTTGCCGCCGGTTGCTCAGCCCTCGGATTGTCAATTTCCATGGCTGTCAGGCACACGGACAGACCAAGGGAAGAGAAGGAGGGGCAGGAGAATAGGGTTTCTAAGAGGGTTTTTGTTTTGAAACTAATCTACAATATATATACATATGGAGTACTACATGGGCCGAATTTTGGACCCAATGTTAGATCTGGATAATCAAAAGGCCCGTGCTTATTACTTCAGTGCCTGATTTACTCAAATAACCGTTCTTCAGTTCACCATTTAAATATTATTACTACAATTGTAATCCTCAAGACTTATAAAATATTAAATTATGGTCGAATGTCGATAAATTTTTTATTAGACCATTATTTGGGGTATCAAAGACATTTTACTTTGACCATTGCTATTTTTTAATAATTACTTTACATTAATAACTATGTTACTTATAAGATTATATGTACTTTTCAAGACATAATATATAAACATGACCCTTAACTTGGCTTTAGTAGACAACTATGTCCTCCAACTTTGAGTGTGCATAAGTAGACACTTAAACTTTTATAAAATTGAACAAGTAGACACATGTGTCCTATGTGACATAATACACGTATGATGCCACGTAGAACACAAAATTACCATGTTGGGTGTCATATAGGATGAATGTGTCTATTTGCTCAATTTTATAAAGTTTAAGTACCTATTTGTGTATGCCCAAAATTAAAGATCATAGTTATTAGCTAACACCAAGTTAAGGGTCATGTTTATGTAGTATGCCACTTTTCAAATATGTCAACTTGAATTTATGGCCCATCCTTTTGACATTTTAAGTCTACCTCGTCTTTTTGTAACATTTTCTATGGTGCACGTATGAACCGGTGCATCAGTAAATCGACACAAAACATAACCAAACTACATAAAACAGACTTGTCTAATTTATACTCAATTGTGCTACTTGCACCTTCTGATGAATGTGGTCAAGGCATACGCATCGGTAAATGAAAAAGAGTAATGAAACATTAAGTTGAAAACCAAATGAAAATGAACTACTGCAAAGCTTATATATGAGGAATTAAGCCATCCCACAGAATGCGGCATTAAAATGACTGAAAGAGTCCACAGACATACCCCTCACGATGAGACACTTAAGCAGCTTAAATGGATAGCTAGACTGTTTATGCTGCACTTTCTGAACGAACAATTAATGGAAGCCAGAACAGTACAAGCCATTAGATGTTTGACAAACCAGCAGTACGATTAAAAACACCAATTAAAAAAATCTTCAGAGGTAGTGTACAAGGTCGACCTCTAAAATATTTGCTCATCTACTTTTACAAATCACTTATAGAACTCGAAGTCAGTGTCCGGCTTCTTCACATTGGTCCTGTAACCCTTTTCAAAGTCCTTGGGGAGTATGACATATCGATTCTTTCGCACTGCATGCATACCTGCTTCCTGACATATAGCTGCAATCTGTAGACATTGCAACATGCATCACAGTCGTGTTGGTCAAATTGACTCTTCAATTATAAAGGTCATTCACATTTTCAAAATAGAAGGATCAAAGCAGATGCAGCAAAATAAAGAACTACTTAGTCTTAACACTAGACTTCAACATTTTAAATCAGTAGTGAAGCATCCTGTTATCAGTCGAAAAATAGATGAAGGGAAAAGAGACAAACCTCAGCAGCACTAATTTTATCAGGGCGAGAAACATAATCTTCCAAGTCAACCTCGTCACCTAAGTTCATCTTAGCAGTACAGACCTGGCCAAAATCATCCAGCTTTCAGATTTGAGGTTCATTACGAAAAATTGGAAATACAGGGAAAATATAACATAATGAGTGAGAGGCACAATTCAGAAGCCAATCAATCATAACTTCCTTCAATATTTTTCCAATTTTAACTTCTATTTGTTTGGTAATGGGGAATGGGGTTGAAGAAGATCCTGAGCACAAAATCATCCAAATTCTACCTGAAAAACAAGCCTCTTTTGACGCCTATCAGGTAAAGGAAATTCAATCTTCCGATCAAGCCTTCCAGGACGCAGAAGTGCAGGGTCCAAAGTATCAGCTCTGTTGGTTGCCATGATAACTTTCACATTCACAGTCTGGTCAAATCCGTCCATCTGAAGAAGACATACCAAAAGAAACCTTCATAAACAATGCAAAAGTGTAAATTTTGATGGGATTACTTCAGGAATTTGTAGAAGCCTACCTGATTAAGCAACTCCATCAAGATACGCTGGACCTCCCTATCAGCTCCAGTTTGAGCATCAAACCTAGCAGTAGCAATTGCATCTACCTCATCAATAAATATAATTGCAGGAGCATTTTCTTTGGCAAGACGGAAGACATCACGAACCATTCGCGGACCCTGAACAGTCAGATAGTAAGTGCTGAAAGTAAAGTTTGAGCAATAGAAACAAATGGAGTCTTGTCATCATTTGTGGACAAACTTGACCAGTCCTAACTAAGAAATAAAAGATATCTCCAGACAAAGAAATTTGGCTCAGGGAATTGCAAATTGAACTGAAGTTGCATCTCAGATAGAAGAGTTGAGGAGAGCATGCAGCAACAAAATGTACAATAGTGCATTCCAAGCTGCATGTTGACAGGACTGAAATGCTCTACTCGATTGGCCACAGAAAGCTGGTTTGTCTTAAACTGCTCAAAAAGAAAAAGAAAAAAAAGGCTGAATGCTTTACTCAATTGGCCCCAGAAAGCTGGTCTGTCTAAAACTTCTCAAAAAGAAAAAAGAAAAAAAGGCTGAATGGCTTCTCGGTCAACTACTAAGTATCGACGAGTAGTTCTTCTATATGGCGTTTTAATTTCAAGGATGGATCGTGTACATGATGTTTACCAGTCAACACCACGGAAATAGGAGATTCTGTGTCCCTTATCTTTACTGATCAATATTTTTTTTGTCGAGATGTTTACTGATCTATATTAGTAGGGTCTTCTTTGACAATGTCGTTTAAAAGAGTATCCAGCTCGATGCCAAATGTGTGTATAAAAGTTTGGAGTTCCTGCAGAAGAATGTGATGCTATACGCAGTATTCATGGTATTACATGGTTATCAATCTTTTTGGTACTTTTAGCTGCCTCTTGCTAAAAAGTCTTATTACGGTGACAAACTGGAATTGTGGGAGTAGCTTAACATAGTGAGACTCAAACAGAGGCAATAAGCCAAACAAGGAAATGAAAGACATTGAAAAGGTTTTAAGATATTGGGCAATCTTTATCACGAGAGGTCTCGAGTCAAACCCTCTGGAACTATAGTGGACTTAAAATTCAGCCTCTGAACAAAAGAATGCAGATAGCAGTGAGAGTGTGTCATTTTTAGTTTTCATGGTGCCTTTCTAGCAATGTTTGCATTCCATTTACAGCTACCGAAATTTCAACAACTGGCTCCACATGTTCACCCAACAAATATAAAGAATTTTGCATTCAATTATACTTTCACGGCAAAGCAAATTTAAACTACGACATTTGATGTAGCAGGAGAGGGTATATTTTCTTATGGTGCTTTTTAGCTTCTAAATCTGTAATTGTCTTTTAATAAGGTAAAGTGTAATCTATAATTACTTTTTACATAAATTAATAACCTAATCTTTGATGTCAATAAAAAAGAAAAGCTAAGTAGAGCAAATAGAACTAGATCATGCAGTTTGGGGTAAAAGTAATATTCACGAATTACCTTGTTCTAGCACAAACAGTAGCCACTAATGATGAAATTAAAAAATAAAAGTAGTCTGAGATAAGACACCAATCCCTTTTATCTTCCAAATTTCTTTCTATACAATAGAAAGGAGCACCTCAAAATATTTTTTTGTATTTCAAACAATGCAGTGCAAAAAGTCCGAATCATCAACAACAGGTGATTAGCAAGTAGTAACAACACATTGATGCATAACAAAAAATGTTCATGGTATTTCATTACTTCAATGCATACCTCACCCAAGTATTTCTGAACGAATTCTGAGCCAACAACCCTTATGAAGGCGGCAGTAGTGTGATGAGCAACAGCTTTTGCAAGCATAGTTTTCCCAGTACCTGGTGGACCATAAAGCAAGACACCACGGGGAGGGTCTATACCAATCTGCTTGTACAACTCATGATGAGTCAAAGGTAACTCAACAGCCTCACGAATTTCCTGCTTTTGAATGTCACATCCTCCAATATCCTGGTGCGAGGAAAAAATAAGATTAAGAAGGAAGAATATAAAGGAAGGCACATTAACAGCCCTATATTATATCAGATTTCCACTTGCTTGCCTGTAGCTGTAATGTGACACATATGCATGCTTATATAACGGGCATTTATTAGGATAAAAACATAATGCCTTTTCCTCATTAGTGTTCTGACTTCTGATTATAGAATTAGATGCACTCTTTACTAATACCCCAATATCTCACTAGTGTTTCATACTTTTGAAGAAAATAATGGAGAGCAGCGTACGAGTTGTGCACTCCACACTCATGTTTATGAATAGATAAGTGAATTCAAATCACCAAATCTGTGATTCATCAGTTAATTACAAAATCAGTTCAATCATTTGCGAACCTTTTTCCCACTTCCCCACAATAGAACATGGGCTGCATACCAAAAAAAAAAAAACACAATATCCATATTCATCCAGGATACGACATTTATGGAGCACCGGATATCCAAAGACACCAATGTAAGCACTTTGATTCCTAATCTATGGAAGTTCTTGGTAGTGACACCTTGACTAACTAATCTTCATTCGACTAACTAAAGTTGATCAAGCTCTTAGTGAGCCTACCATAAATATAGATTCTTGGGATTCATTAATTAATAAAGGTAGTGAACTTTAGGAGTAACGGGAAACCCTGCATTCATCTAATGAAGTCTACAACTAGCTAATAGCGAAATCTAATCCAGAACTCATAATCAATATAAAGTAAAACCTAATGCAAGAGTTCCACAATGCATGAGCTCACACTACAAACTCTAATGAACCAATTAAGGAACCAAAAGGCAAAATTGACCAATAAACCCTAAGAAATAAGAAACATAGCAGCCAGAAATATTATAACCCTAATAAACAGTAACATATAAACCCTAATCAGTGTATTCAACCAATAAC